TAAAAGTAAAAGTATGAAGATTTACATACCATGAAAATGGAACCCCCAAAGAAGCAGGAGTACCTACTCTCATATCTGAAACAGGCTTTGAAACAAAATTAATCTGAAAACAAAGAAGGTCACTTCATATTGGTAAAGGGAACAATCCAATGAGAAGATAAAATAAGAGTAAATATTTATATCCCAAATGTCAGTGCACCTAAAATTACTTGACATAAAGACTCAAAGAGACTCTGGTATAATACTGGGTGATTTCAACATACCTCTCCCACTAACAGACGGATTATCTAGACACAAACTAATTAGACTATCAGTAGAAACTATTTAGACTTTAAAAATTTTATAAATCAAATGGGCTTAAGAGATATCTATAGCCAGTCATGTTGATAATGCCTGGAATCCCAGCGATTCAGAAAGCTGAGGAGGATCACAAGTTCAAAGCCAGCCTCAGCAACTTACAAGCTTAAAGCAACTCAGCAGACCCTATCTCAAAAAAAAAAAAAAAAAAAAAAGGAAAGAAAAAGTCATCTATTTATAGAATATTTCATCAAACAAAAGCTGAATTCACTTTCTTCTCAGCTTTCATGGAACCTTCTCTATTTAAAACAGACCATATTTTAGGACCCAAAGCAAGTCTCAGCAAATACAAGTTAATTCCTTGTATCTCTTCTGATCATAATGGAAAAAGATTAGAAATCAGAACCAAAAAATAAAAAACAAAAGACTATAGAAACTATATAAACACATGGAGACGGAACAATACACTGTTAAATGATGAATGGATAACAGAAGAAATCAGAGGAGAAAATTGTAAGTTCTTAGAATCAAATGAGAATACCAATACAAGACACCAGTACCTCTGGGATGCTATGAAGATAAGTTCTAAGAGGAAGGATTATAATAGCTATAAGAGCCTATGTAAGAAAATCAGAAAGAACTCAAATGTACAACTTAATGATGCATCTCAAGAGCCCTAGAAAAACAAGAACAAACCAATTCCAAAACCAGTAGAATCAGAGCTGAGAACAACGAAATAGAGAACAATGAAATAGAGAATAAAAAAATACAAAGAATCAACTAAACAAAGAGTTGATTCTTTGAAAAGATAAATTAGGTAAACCCTTAGCCAAACTAACCAAAAAAAAAAAAAAAGAGAGAGAAAACCAAATTAATAAAATTAGAAATAAAAAAGGAGAAACACAGAATCAGACATCACAGAAATTCAGAGATCAGCTGGGCATGGTAGTACATAACTACAATCCCAGCAACTTTGGAGGCTGAGACAGGATCCCAAGTTCAYAGCCACCCTTAGCAACTTAACAAGGCCCTATGCATGACCAGGTTGATTTCATTCCAGGGATGCAAGAATGGTTTAACATATACAAATCAATAAATGTAATTCATCATATAATGACAGAATTAAGGAGAAATATATAGTCATTTTAATCAGTGCAGAAAAAGCCTTTGACAAATTCAGCACCCACTCATGATAAAAACACTGAAGAGACGAGAGACAGAAGGGACTTAAATACATCAGTAAGGTGATATGTGACAAACCCAAGGCTAACATCATAGTTAATGATTAATGGGGAAAAACTGAAAACATTTCCTTTAAAATCTGGAACAAGACAAAAATGTCTGCTCTCATGACTTCTATTTAATATAGCACTAGGAATTCTAGCCAGAAGAATTAGACAAGAGAAGCAAATAAAAGGGATAAAAATATTTAAGGAAGAAGTCAAATTATTACATTTTGCAAATTATATCATCTCAAACTTAGGAAATCCAAAAAGTTCTACCAGACGACTACTGGAGCTAATAAACAAATTTAAAGTAATAGGTTTCAAAATCAACTTGAAAATCAATAACTTCCTGTACACCAATAATGAACCTGCTGAGAAAGAAATCAGGAAAACAATCCATTTTACAATAGCTTTAAAAAAGAAAATACCTAGGAATAAATCTAACCAAGGAAATGAAAGACTTCTACAATGAAAACTATAAAACACTGAGTAAAGAAATTGATGAACATACAAGAACATGCAAAGACCTCCGTGTTCATGAATAGGCAGAATTAATATTTTTAAAATGGCCTTACTGAGGCTGGAATTGTGGCTCAGCGGTTGAGCGCTGTCTCCCATGTGCAAGGCCCTGGGTTCGATCCTCAGCACCAGGAAAGGAAGGAAAGGAAGGAAAGGAAGGAAAGGAAGGAAAGGAAGGAAAGGAAGGAAAGGAAGGAAAGGAAGGAAGGAAGGAAGGAAGGAAGGAAGGAAGGAAGGAAGGAAGGAAAAGGGTGCTATGAAAAGTGAGCCCAATGTTTAAAAAAAAAAATGGCCTTACTACCAAAACAATACACAATTTCAATATAATTCCCTTCAAAATACCAATGATATTCTTCACTGAACTAGAAAAAACTGTTCTTAAATCACTCTAGGCCAAAAACAAGCAATGCTGGAGGCTTCATTTAAGTCTCTTCAAATTATACTACAGAGCTACACTAACAAAAACTGCATGTGCTAGAATAAGACACATAGACCAAGACAGCAGAGGACACAGAGAAAATCACCCAGATATAGTCATCTGATCCTTGACAAGAGAATCAGAAACATATGTTAGAGAAGACAGCCTTTTTAACAAATGGTGATGGGAAAACTGGTTATCCACATGTAAAGAGCCTGCACAAAATTCAACTCAAAATGGAGGCTGAGGCAGGAAGATCATAGTTCAAGGCCAGCCTCAGCAACTTAGTGAGGCCCTAAGCAACTTAGTGAGACTCTGTCTCAAAAATAAAAAGGGCTGAAAAAGAGCTGAGATGTACCTCAGTGGTAAAGCACCCCCGAGTTCAATCACTAGTACCACAAAAATAAGGGGGGGAGGGGTTGAGAGAGAGAGAGAGAAAGAAGACTATTAATACACAGATACAGAGCAACTGGTATTTTCAGAAGTTGCTGGGTTGGGAGACATGCCTACCCTTGACAAGGAGGAAGGTCGATTCAGATTGCTTGGTCCATGCCTCCTCAGTCCTGTAGGTAGAACTGACCTCCCCATAACTGCAAGGACTAGTCAGACTTATCATAAAAGGGGAGAAGGAAGCACCCACTGGAAGGGATAAAGGACTAAAAAAAGTATTTAAGTGTCATCTCTAAATGTCTTTGTTTTCTAGGTACTCTTATTGTTGTTTTAATTCTTTTAATTAGAAATTGGTTTAATTCTATATACATTTATTAAGATAAACTTGTAGTACTAGATATGAAAAGCATATATAGGAGAGTATGAACATAATAATGGAATCAATTCATATGATTTCATGGAGGAATGCCATTTGAGCCAGGTTTAAAGAGTAGGTACAACTTCAGAGTCTGGGAAAGATCTTTCAGGGCAAGAGAATGATATAGGCAAAGACCAGTGGTATCGGTGGTCTGAACTGGATTTCAGTGTAGATATCCTAGTGTTAAGAATAGAGAGCTTAGTAGCAGAAATGGGAGATGCTGGCTGGCCACATTTACTACTGCTGCTGGCTTTTTTTGTACTTAGCATTTAACTCAGGGTCACTTTACCACTGAACCACTATGCTATATTCTCAGTCCTTGTTATTTTGAAACAACTTGCTAAATTGCTGAGGTTGAACTCGAACTTGCAATCCTCCTGTCTCAGCCTCCCCAGTCACTGGGATTACAGGCATGTGCCACCATGCCTCATTCCACTTTTGCTTCTGAAACTGAAATACTTGAAGTAGTTTTCAAAGGACCTCCACACTTCATCCTGAAGGTCCCAGGCCTGTGTCCTTCACATTAGGTTTTCAGAAGGTATGTCAGGAGATGTGAGAAGCCACAGTACTTTCTAGGGTATCTGCATTCTTTTTTTTTTTTTTTTTTGAAACAGGGATTGAACTCAGGGGCACTCAACCGCTGAGCCACATCCCCAGCCCTATATTTTATTTAGAGACAGGGTCTCGCTGAGTTGCTTAGTGCCTTGCTTTTGCTGAGGCTGGCTTTGAAATCCAATCCTCTTGTCTCAACCTCTGAAGCTGCTTAGATTATAGGCTAGTACTAGATTGTAGTACTAGATATGAAAAGCATTTTCAGAACCACAGAGAAGCCAATCCTATTTAAGAGAAGCTAATCCTATTTATATATAATTGAAAATGCAAACACAGTAGGCAAAGATAATTATTACAAAATACTTTTTAATTACAATGGTTCAGTCCTCTGTGTGGTGAATTTTACAATATACAAGAAATAACACGAGGGAGGAAAAAAGGCATAAAGGAAAGATTAAAGACATCTTACAGATCTGGTTAACCACTGAAGACCAAGGACTCTGGTTTGTGTTTCATTAGCCAAGAGTATGCCTTGTATCAAATGTAGAGAAGGCAGAGGGAACAATCCTCCAATCTTTTCAAGGTTTGAATAGCAATGAATGAAGCTTACTCAGGGTCATAATAAAAAAGACATTCACGAGCTGGGGTTGTGGCTCAGTGGTAGAGCATACTCGCCTCGAATGTGTGAGGCACTGGGTTGGATCCTTAGCATCATATAAAAAAATAAATACACAAAATAAAGTTTAAAAAAAAAAGGCATTCAAAAGAATAAACCCCAGAAGACCAGCAAATTTGAATGGAGCTAGATGCAGTGGTATATGCCTTTAATCCCACCTACTCCAGAGGGTGAGGCAGGAGGATTGTGAATTCATGGCCAGCCTCAGTAACTTAGTGAGATCCTGTCTCAAAAAATAAAAAATAAAAAGGGCTGGGAATGTAGCTCAGTGGCAGAACACCCCTAGGCTCAATCCCTAGGTACAGCAAAACAAAAACAAAAGTGAATAGAAGCAAGAGATCTACATTTGGTGAGATAGACATAAATGAGCTTCAGAGGACTCTGCAAAAGGCACGACCAAGTACCTTGCAACATGAGCTCTCAACAGTGGAGGACATGGAAATCTTACACTAGTCCTTCAGATGATGACTTCCTAGAAAGGAGCTGTGCAAGGCTGCAACTCACCTGAGTGATTATGCGCTCTCCATCCTTATAGATCTTTTCTCCTATAACATCCACAATCTTCATTCGTTCTGACACCTGAAACAATGGACACACTCACAAATTATAAGGAAAATACCTTAACTGAAAGTCATAATACCTATACAACATAGAACTGGGTTAGGATAGTATGATTTGAAAAACCTAATAACAATAGTTTTAACAGCTTTTCATTCAGACTTTACCTCTAGTGATTTAAGGAGCGGCACAGACTCAATAAATGATTCAAACATCTTCCTCTTTTTTGCATTGTTTTTCACTATGATTCTTCTAAAAGTCACCCGATCCTACAAAAAAGAACATAAAAATTCTAGCATATGCTTGTTTCAGACCACAGGTTGTTACCTATGGTTTAGTTAACTAGACCACAGAAAATATTAGAGGACTATAGAAGTTTATGTCAACTGAGTGTTAAATGACACTTCAATCTCAGAGTCATCACTGGAAGAAAAAGACCTGTAACCTAAGTCCGTAAGTGCTGCTTACTGTCTAGTGCACAATGGGTGTCAACCATGGGTTCATTCATAGAACATAAAACAAAAACCTTCCATCAAACATTTGTGAGTTCACAGTCATAATTCAATGTCAAAAGTCATCCTTCCAAAAAAAGAAAAAATAAAACAATGAGATGGTTCCTGACCACAAGGAGATTACAATCTTAGTGAAGAGACAATACAAAATATAAAGAAATTTTAAAAGTGTACAGTTTAAGACAGCATATGAAATGTGCTAGGTGAAACCATAGAAGACAAGTGCCAAAAAAATTTCCAGGTGAAAGAGATCACAGCAGGCAGGAATAATCAAAGATAATTTTATACCAAAAATATATTTATATTTTGGAATCTGAAGGAGGGGTAAGATTTAAATTAATGAAAAGGGAGAAAATACTTGGATCTGTTGAGTCTGCTGTCTTTTCTCATTGAAGCTGAGAATTTCCTTGTTCTTGGTATGACAAGTGATTTTCAAGTATACTTTAGATATTTTGGATATGATATTATATAATTTCTTTTGTAGCCATTCACCGTTTAGGTATACCATACATGTACAGGTGGGGGTACATGTTTAGCTCCCAAGTGGGACCTGTTGACACTACCCTGGCAGAGAAAGCACAGTACCAACTAGTAATAATATGCACCCCTTCATTTTGCCTCTTTGAGATTGGGTATGACTAGTAGTCCAACTTCCTCCTTGGCTCAGTGTATCATGGGGAGACATAATCAGTTTTTTTTTTTTGTTTGTTTTGTTTTTTTGTATTTGAAGGAGTAAGGGTGCTATTATCAAAAACAGTTTTCTGTGGGCTGGGGATGTGGCTCAAGCCGTAGCGCGCTCGCCTGGCATGCGTGCGGCCCGGGTTCGATCCTCAGCACCACATACCAACAAGGATGTTGTGTCCGGAGAACTAAAAAAAATAAATATTAAAAAAAAAAAAAAAAAAAAAAACAGTTTTCTGTTCTGCTGGCCACCCTCTTCCTGATTCTTTGGCTAGAGAGTGCCAGGTTTTCATGGGGCTATTTCTGTTGTACCTGTTGACAGATCTGGATTGTAGGCTTTCCTAGCAGCCTACCTTAGTTATATGGAAATATATAGAAACCTAGGGAACTCACTGTTACATCCTTCCTCAAGTCCCAAGATCCCTAGTGAGAATGCCTTCTTCTTTCTACCTTTCAGGGCCTTCCTATGTCCAGAGGTTTGTTTGGGTTTTTTGTTGTTGTTGTTGTTGTTGTTGTTGGTTGGTTGGTTGGGTTTTTTGGCTTTTTTTTTTTTTTTTTTTTTTAAGAAGGAAGATTAACAAGGAATGGAACTATTCCCTCTTAGTCTGAGCCAGTAGATGCATTTAAAAACTGAGTTCATTCCCCACCCCTACTATTTATTATTCTTCCATATTTGAGTGTTTTTAAATCACTGGGTCCCCAAGTATGTGATCTATTCTTTTTTTCCTTTTCTTCTTTTTTGTTACTGGGATTAAATCCAGAGGCACTTTACCACTGACCTATATACCCCAGTCCTTTTTATTTTTTAGTTTTGAGACAGGGTCTTGTTAAGTAGCTGAGGGTCTCCCTAAGTTGCTGAGGCCGGCCTCAAATTTGCAATCCTCCTGCCCCAGCCTCCCAAGCCACTGGGATTACAGTCATGCACCACCACCAGGCCCATCTTGGCAATATTCTTTTTTTTGGTGGTGGGGTACTGGGGATTGAATTCAGGGGCACTCGACCACTGAGCCACATCCCCAGCCCTATTTTGTATTTTATTTAGAGACAGGGTCTCACTAAGTTGTACTTAGTGCCTTGCTATTGCTGAGGCTGGCTTTGAACTAGTGATCCTCCTGTCTCAGCCTCCCAAGTTGCTGGGATTATAAAAGTGTGCCAGCATGACCCTTCAGCAACACTCTTAATTTAACATCAGAATATCACAATAAAATGCTCTTTCATTTCTTTAAAATGTGATCTCAGGGCTGGGTTTGTGGCTCAGTGGTAGAGTGCTCTCCTAGCATGCGTGAGGCACCAGGTTTGATCCTTAGCACCACATAAAAAATGATGTTGTGTGGGCTGGGGTTGTGGCTCAGTGGTAGCATGCTTGCCTAGCATACATGGGGCACTGGGTTCGATCCTCAGCACCACATAAATGTAAAATAAAGATATTGTGTCCACCTAAAACTAAAAAATAAATATTAAAAAAAAGATATTGTGTGTCCACCTACAAATAAAAAATAAGGGGCTGGGGTTGTGGCTTACACATGCTGGGCGCTGGGTTCGATTCTCAGCACCACATATAAATAAATAAAAATAAAGTTCCTTTGACAATTAAAAGAAATATGTTAAAAAAGTATTTATAAATAAATAAATATTTAAAAACTGTGATTTCAATAAGAAAATAAGTTGATAATTCTGTGCTATACATATAATTCTACTTATAAATTAAACAGAAACAAATTACTACAGACATCAATATTCCTTTAAAAGTTCAGAGATTTTGGACTTATAACTTGATGTTGAAGAAAACAAGATGGGTCATGTACAATGGAAGACAGGTATCACAATAGTGTTAAGAGTAAAACATTCTGGAAAAGCTCTCTTTTCTAGAACATGGCCATCAGCCTTTCTAGTGATCCAAGTCTATGGATATTGTCATGGACCAAGGAACAAGTGAATGGCTAAACATAAAGAAAAGTTGGTCCTGGGACATGTGGAGATAGAAAATGCTACTGACAAAGCCTTTTATGGCATTTGTTTTTCTAAGCTACTACTGCTGCTGATGCTTCTTTTTTTTATTTTGGTCCTGGGATAGAACTCAGGGGCACTCAACCAATGAGTCACATCCCCATTCCTGTTTTGGATTTTATTTAGAGAGAGGGTCTCACGGAGTTGCTTAGCATCTTGCTTTTGCTGAGGCTGGCTTTGAACTTGCAATCCTCCTGCCTCATTCTCCCATTTTTTTTTGGGGGGGGTGATACTGGGGCACTTAACCACTGAGCAACATCCTCAGCCCTTTCATTTATATATATATATATATATATATATGAATGAAATATATATATATTTTTTTTTTCTTAGTTGTTGATAAACCTTTATTTTATTTATTTATATGCGGTGCTTAGAATCAAATCCAGTGCCTCACACATGCCAGGCAAGTGTGTTACTGCTGAGTCCCAGCCCCAGCCCCCTTTTCTTATACTTTATTAACAGACAGGGTCTCACTGAGTTGCTTAATGCCTAAGTTGCTGAGGCTGGCTTTGAACTCATGATCCTTCTGCCTTAGCCTCCCAAGCTGCTGGGATTACAGACGTGAGCCACCATGCCTGGCTGCTTCTTATATGGAGAATTATCTTCTCTCTCTACTTGTCTGATTAAAAACAAACAAAATATAACAAGAGTTATATACTACTATGGGGTCATAAGACGTAGTCGTGTCTCTGTGACTTGGAGTAACTGGTTTGTTGATAAATCACCTTAGAAAAACACACTTTCATGAAACCTTTCATTATGTCTTTCAGATAGTTGGCAATAAAAGAAGCTCAAAAGAAATACTATGCCATGCAATGGKAACCATTTCACTCACGCACCAATCCCCAAAGGGAGCCTTCTGAGGTGGCGACAATGGTAGCAGCTCTCGGGGTGTTGTACATCAGAGCTAGTTCTCCAAAACTGCCACGGTTATCATACTGACCAACAGAACGTGTTTGATTATCTTTTGTCACTAAAATGTCGTAAGTTCCCCTGGAAGAATGACAAAAAACAATTTAATTAATTACTTCTGATTATGAATTTACATATAATATAAAACATCAATAGGGGATTTCCAACATAATTTTGTTGGTGTATAAATTGCAACAGATCTTTCATTTTGACTGTATCCTGTAATCCTGCTAAACACTAGTACCTATTTTAGGTGGCACTCTTAGGATTTCTCATGATAGAGGATCATGCTACTTGCATATTGTTATGGTTTGGATGTGAGGTGTCCCCCAAAAGCTCAAGTGTAAGACAATGCAAGAAGGTTCAGAGGAGAAATGATTGGTTTGCAATCCCCCTGGTGTGGTGACACACAACTGTAATCCCAGTGGCTCAAGAGGCTGAGGCAGGAGGATCGAAAGTTCAAAGCTAGACTCAGCAAAAGCAAGATGCTAAGCAATTCAGTGAGACCTAGTTTCTAAATAAAATACAAAAAAAAAATAGGACTGGGGATGTGACTCAGTGGTCAAGTGACCCTGATTTCAATCCCTGGTAACCCCACCCCCACCCCAAAGAGTCTTAGCCCTAACCCAATCAATGAATTAATCCCCTGATTGGGATTAACTGATTGATAACTAAAATAGTAGGGTTTGGCTGGAGGAGGCATGGCTTTGGGGTATATTTTTGTATCTGGCAAGTGGAGAATTCTCTCTGCTTCCTGATCACCATGTGAGCTGCTTCCCTCTGCCACACTCTTCTGCCATAATGTCCTACCTCACCTTGAGCCCAGAGGAATGGAGCCAGCCACTTATGGACTGAGACCTCTGAAACCACAAGCCTCAAAATAAACCCTTCCTCCTTTACAGTTGTTCTGTTGGGTCTTTCAGTTGCACAGTGGAAAAAGCTGAGTGAAACACATTTTACTTCATTCTTTCCATCTATATGTCTTTCCTTTCTTCCTTTACTGTGGGAGGCTTTCATGTCATGTGACCAGCGTTTTCCCCTTCTGATGGGTTGAAGCACTGTCGGTCATCCTCCCATGATTCTGGCTACTCTTAAGTTGCTGAAGACGGTAGCCCCGATCTTGAGGTAGAAATAATGCAACCAAATGTGTCTTCATGCGTAAGCGTGCCTTCCTGCAGCCCCATGGGTGGAGCTACGCTCACCTGTTCCTTTGTGATATTACCCCTTGCCCTGTTTGGGATAGAATGCTCCAAGGAAACGCCCTTTATATGTCCCCTTCTCTTACTCTGCCCTTGGGTGTGGCCTTCAACTTGCTGACAGCAGATATCATGAAACTAGACTCAGCCCCTTGAAACTTAACCCCTTGCCTCTTTTGAATGGCTTCTCCTCAATAAAAGGGGTCAGCACATGCTCTCTCTTTTTCTGAGGACCCTTAAGGTCAGAGGAGCTATCACAGCACCCACAAAGATAAAGGTATTTCTGTCTCTTGTGTGGTTATTTCATGCAGCCCAGTTCCCCTGGAGTGACCCTGAGTGTTTTAGTCATAAGCAACGCAACACTTTACTTTGCTTTTTGCACTGGTTAGGACCTCTGGTGCAACACTAACTGGAAGTGGTGAGTGTAGACATCCTTCTTATCCTTATTCTTCAGGATAGAATAATAATACATTCCATAAAATGCTTAAAATACTTTAAAGATTAGATTACATAATGTATGACCTAATGTAAAAATGTGTTAATATAATAGAGACTCCATTTTTTGTTTGTTTGTTTTTGGGTACTGGGGATTGAATTCAAGGACACTCAACCACTGAATCACATCTCCAGCCCTATTTTGTATTTATTTAGAGACAGGGTCTCACTGAGTTGCTTAGTACCTTGCCATTGCTGAGGCTGGCTTTGAATTCACAATCCTCCCTGTTTCAGCATCCTGAGCTACTGGGATTACAGGCGTGTACCAATGTACCCGGCTAAAGACTCCAATTTTGATACTTAGTTTTTGATAGTTTCAAACTCTATCATTCACCCTTTTCTCTTCCGTCCGACATCTGGGCAAGGTGATAAAAGTACCTGTGTGCTCCCTCCACTGGTACTGATGGGGAGCTCAAACAATATGCCATCTTATGTGAAAAAGTACCCTAACCCTATCCCTACCTTTGTAACAACCATAAAATCCCAAGGAAGTCACCTCTCCCTAGAGAACCTGACCTATAGTAGGCCTGGTATACAAGGCATTTTGGGTCCTGCTTAGGAACCTACCCTGCTCTCCTCAAAAAGCCTTGTTATATGAATAATAAGACTTTTATACTCTTTTAGTGGATATGCAGCATCAACAGTCTTTATTGTCTGAACCCAGTTTTGGTTCAGGCATCTGATCTCTACAGTAAAGCATGGAATAAACAATGGAGGGATACATTCTAACAATGAGATTATTGCTAAATTACTTCTAGACTATTTTCATTTCATTTATTTTAAAAAACTATAATGGTGCACACCTATAATTCCTGAAGCTCAGGAGGCTGAGGCAGAAGGATCACAAGTTTGAGGACAGCCTCTGCAATTCAGTGGGGCTCTAAGAAACTTAGTGAGACCCTGCCTTAAAATAAAAAATAAAAAGGACTGGGGATATAGGTGAGTGATAAAGTACTTCTGGGTTCAACACCTAGTACCATAAAACAAATCAAAAAGTTGTCTATAAAAAGATATCACTTTTTTAAAAATAAATATCACTTATTACATGCAAAGCAGAGAATAAAACCAAGCAACTCAATCAATTATATGGTACCAAATGTACTCAACAGAGAACCTGACATATAGTAGGCTTGGTATACAAGGCAAGTTATAAGGTCATAAATGAGAAACATGAAATTAAGAATAACTTCAATGAAGTGTTTTTAGTCTCTCTAAAAGACACTAGAAACTTAACTTCAGGGAAGACAAACCAATTCAGACAGAAGCACTATAGAGGGCATCTCCTGACATCTCCAAATACTTCTCTAAATAATGGGACACATTTTATCACCATTTTACCACCATATTGCATAATAATCATCTATTTAAGGGTCTGTCTCCCTAACTAGAATAAGCTTTTTGAGATCAGAACTGTATCTTTTTACTTGAATGATAATCTTCCACTTTCACTACATATAAAGGATTCCTACAGGTGTTGACATTAACAGAATCATCAAATCCCATTTAAATGTATAATGAATCATTTCCTTTGTCAATAGGCATTTCAAACTTTAAGCTGTGGATACCTGCAGATGGGTACTTATTTTTCAGATTGTAAAAGCCTGCTGGGAAATCTATTTTGGTGGGAAATACACAGAAGGTGTAAGGTGACTTCTGGACGTGGAGATAACTAAAAATTATTCTTTCATTATTATCAGCATTTCTATATAGGAAGGATTAAACATAATAGGTAAAAGGTCTTTTCTTTGAAAAGATATATTATCTTTACTGTTTAAGTAAAAACATGTCCTTTTAACTATAATAATCACAGGAATCAAGAGCCAATAAGAAGTGAGAGCATTTTCTATTCAAAAACCTGAACAAGCAAACGTTTGAGAAGAAGGGGTCAACTGAACGTACCACAGGTACTTGATGGAAATCAAAAAAGCCAAAAAAAAAAAAAAAAATGAACAAACAAGAAAATGGACTCAATAATCAGGGAAATAATTGGAAATTTAGAATAAAATCTGTACATTAAACATTTGGATGCAGTAGTATACAATTATTTGAGTGTTTTAACTGTTCTGTGCATAAGAAAATGTCATTTTAAGGAAATGCAAATTGAAGTACTTGGAGATAAAGAGCATTCATGATATCTGCACCTTACTCTCAACAATTTGATAAAGCAAATATGGTAGAACATTAACTTGGGGGACCCGTATTTATAAGAATTTTCCGTACTATTTGTATAAGCTTTCCGTAACTCTGAAATTACTTCAAAAAATTTTTTTCCAAAAGATTAACAGATGATATTGGGTGAAAGAGCATCTTATCACCTTAGACTCTGGTGAAGGTGCTCCTTTCAGGACTGAGAGGAAGTCAGAAGGAACCCTACCGCACTACAAGAGAATACTGTCAACTCAAGAAGCTAAGACACAATAAGGTGGGTGGATCAAATTCAGATACTTAATTTTTCACAGTATAGCTTACCTCTATTCCTTTAGAACAAAGTCAAAATGGGCTAGAGGAATGGAGGTCAAGGTAGTGTATTCATTGTAAAATCAGGTTGAAATTCAGAGATCCAAATGATAATATAGCATCCTGGCTATTCTTTAAGGAAATCAATTTACCTTAACACTGAATAATGATATATACATAATAAAGCACATCAGGCATTCTTTGTCAAACTCCATACTATAAATGGTTGCTCCCCACATATAGGTTGCTCTGAGGACTCAAGACAGCAATGGAGAGGGGCAGGCTGTGACCCTTCATAAGGCTTTGGGAAGCTTGCTCACCCGCTGCTAAGACTCTTTGCATGGACACAGCACAGAGTAAAGTATGTTCCCTGAGTCATAAACCCACCTAAGTCTGGCAATACAATTGCAAAGCTCTATCTCCTACCTTTCTATGACATAAAAGTTGTCTCCATCATCTCCTTGGTCAATGACATGTTCATCAACTTTGACTATCCTTTCAAACATGGCATCGAGTACTTCAGAAAGCTGTTCCTACAGGGTACATACAAAGAGAAAAAGTGGCTTTTAATTTGCTAAAAAACATAATGGCCACAGCTATCTCAATTTATCTTCTATATAACAGAAGTTCCCAAAAGAGTCTATTCCCCAAAGTTATGCAGAACTCTAAGAACTTTTGCAAACAACTGTTATTCTAGGATTATTCAGCTTTGTAACTCCAGGTACCTCAGTAGGTAGCACAATTACCAACTTTTCTGAGGAGTACTGTTTTGAAAAAGCTTTCTACAACTTATACAAAAATAGATTATATAGATCATGGTCCCCGTTATCCCAGTTGTAGCTACATGACTCACCTGCCTTCATGGCTCCAGTATATCATGTATAAAGCCACGTACTGCCACCTTCTTACAGGTGTTGACATTAACAGAATCACCAAATCTAAAGAGCTGTGATAGCCTTGGAGGTTATTTTGTGGAGTAGTACACTGCCTCTGAGTAGTCCAGTACACCATTAATCTCTCTGAACTTCAGGTTCTTCATTCATAAAATAATAAAATTTCAAAATAATAAAGTTGCTAGATCATCAATTTTTACAATTAAAGGAGAAAAATCTGGGGGGAGTATTTACCATACAACAAGTACTTAATAAATGGGATTATTGCTTCATTTATCCATAATATGTAATTTCTTACCAATATTACCCGCCACAAGAAGAAGATAACTATGCTAATAAGTGTAATAAAAAATACTATTACATCATAGCAAGAGAGCTTTTGCTATGATTTAAATTAGTGATAGCATGCCTGAGGTCTTGGATTTGACCCCCAGCCCTACAAAAAAAAAGAAACAGAGAAAGAAAGAAAGAAAGAAAGAAAGAAAGAAAGAAAGAAAGAAAGAAAGAAAGA